CTTGTCGTTGATAGTTTATCAAGTTGTCGAATAAGTTTGTGCTGTCTTCTTCAAGCTCAAAAATTTTCTAAGCCGGAAGTTTTGGCTACGCATTATGGACCGTTTGAAAGAACATTTCTTTTATAAGAAAGTATACTCGGATTAACCAGTAAACTAGAAAAAGGACTCAACTAGATTAATTTTTTTTGAATGCAAAAGCTTAAATATTGCTACAGTGCTACCTTATAAGGTAATTGGATATGCTTTTCACTTGCTGTAGATTAACGGTAGATAAATGCTACGTGGGCAAAAACATGTTTGCCTCATAGTGAAGGGAATATGATATGTTTTTCACGAAAATGATACATCGCACTAAAACTTCACTGTCAAATTTGGGTGGTTTCACGATAGAAAATCCTTATCTGCAAAAAAAAGAGAAAAACTTGATAATTTCAAAAAGCTGAGAAAATCGTTGATTGAGAAAGTTCTGTATGCTTGATGTTTTGTCCACGCGAGAAAGCAGCGTTTGCAACACATACCTATAAAAGATTATCTGGAATAGATGGAAACATTGTTACCGCAAATATGTACTCATTCTCCTTTACTTTTCCCGTACTCATCGTGCTTGTTTGAAGGTGCGTAGCTTCAAGAGGAAACTTAATTGTGAATTGACCTCAAACGGTGCAAAAATACCTGTGAAAACTGTGAACAAGATGTGAGTAAAAAGACTAATTAGAATTTTGCAACAATGACCATGAATATATCCCTTGGCTTGTGAAGGGAGAAAATAAATTACTCTAAAGTATACAGCTGTTACACATTTTTGATAACCATTAGATAAAGTAAGATGAACAACACTAACAAACGAGAACGACTTCTCTCAAAAACTAATCATGGAATTTATCATGTAGCGCTTCCTTCATAAGGTCATTTGGTAATAAGGCTTTTTAGATAACCAAAGGAGTCTTATTTTCACATATTATTATCACCTTTGCTTCCGCCAAATTATATGATGAGAATCACTATTTAAAGGACATAGCCATAGCTTATAGGTGTCCAAACCTGTACATGCATCTTTTCAATCACTATAGGAGTATCAACAGGTATTAGAGAAGTTTTTGCTTACGTTATTGAACTCTACAAGTGCTCTGGACCTTCTGAGACATAGTCGTGGTGCCGAGATTTCCGAATTGCTTTATTCTCCTTAATGCATCGAAATGAATGCAGACGTTTTAGACAAGATCTTGCTATCGTTTAAAGTTGCAGATATCCTTAACCCCAATAATAATTGCTTAGAGATTTGGACAAAAGTCAATTGCTGCTCTTCAAAATTGTAAAGAACCATAGCTCCACACCGTACAACCGATGGCTGATCCCCATTTGATTATTGAAGAACAAGATATCTATCGGCAGCTTAAATACACAGTCTTGTTGAACAAAAATGGCTTATATTCTTGAATGGATCGAAGACGTGATCACCAAATTATGAGATAATGTTGAGCTTTGCTATTTGTTGTTACGCCTGTGAACTCCGTGTTCAGCAGAGAAACGTAGAAAGAACTACAAAAGAAAAATTCAAACCTGAAGGTTTCAAACTGTTCATATAGGACATGGAAAAACGGATTACGTAAATGCGATCATCATATTGCATCCATTAGAAGAAGAAGTAATAATAATAATATAATGTGCGCATGAACTAGCAAACCGAATACATTACAAAATACATTTGTGACTGCGGATTAAAGGGCGAATTAGCTTGTCGTAAGAAAGCGTAACCTCCGTCTGCACTCGCACAAAGTTATGATTATGAGAACCTTATGTTAGTAAGTCTTGCTCAACATACAGTAAAAATGGTCTCAAAGAAATTAGTAACATC